AAAAATTATGGTTTGAATTTCTAGTGATCCTCTAATTGCCTGAAATTGGTTCTGCTTATTTTTTCTCAAAAAAATCTTCCCCTGAAAAAAAACAAAACTCAACCTGTGTACATAGGGTTGGGTTAAATGACCCACGCACCTGTACTTTTTTTAAATCTAAATACACTGAGTTTTTTCATCCATTAATTCTATATTTTTTCTTTTAAATTTATTATTTGATATTAAATTTATATTAAATTTTTTATTTGATATTTTCTAATATAATATGATTTGGTTTTTATTTAGTTTAGATAAGATCTCAATTTTTAAAAAAAAATTATAAGGCATTCTTTCTTTATAGCTCAATTTATTTTTTTATTTTATTTTTATTCAGCCTCTTAGGCTCTTTGCTCCTAATATCTTTTTTATTATCATTTTATTAAATAAAACATTGGTTTAGATAAACAAATTTATTAAATAAAATCGAGTCTATAACTTATATTTCAGGATCAAATATTTATATCCATATCTATCTTTCAATTTTTAAATTTAATCTTTAATTAAATATTATTTAGTTTTTAAATGATTTTTATATAAAATGATTTTTTTAAACATGTACAACACTGTATAATGATTTTTTCATTTGATTTTATTCAATCATTTTTATATGTATATCTATTTATATTATCTTTTGACTGAATAAAAGTTTAATTCTAATAAAAAAGTTATTAAATATAACTAAGTTTATGACCGTGATTCAATATTAAATATCTTGATTTGTATCTATTTTTTGATATTTTTATTTTAATATTTTATTATTGTTAATAATTTTTTTATTTAGATTTATTGGCATAAATAATTTTTAATTTATTAACTGAAGATAAGCAAAAGGTTTCAATTTATAATCATAATTTTTTATGTTAAAAATTACATTGGAAAAACTTAAATATTTTTTTTGTTAGAGAAATTATTTAATAATGAAGTTTTAAATATGTTTTTGTTAAAGAAATTATTTGATAGTAAAATACAAGTAAGATAGCTAATATGATCTAAAGAAACAAATACAATCAAATTGCTATTCAGATCAGTTTACCTAAAATCACAATCCACCAAACTTTGACGAGTTTAATTCAAACACGTGGCCTTCCACGCCTAAAACTATGAATAAAAAATAAATTAAGGTTATTAAAAAATCAAATAATCATGTCCCTTGCAAACCTTAAAACCAAGACTTTTTAACCTAGGGGGTATAAAAAAGCTAAGTCTGTATAATGCATTGACATTTTTGCCCTCTATAATCACGGGGAAATGGTTGATATTTTAAGGGGAAATGGTCTTTTTACAGGGTTCGATTGGCATTACTGATTTGTGTGGGGGTAAATTGGTCACTTTGCATTTTTATTGCAAACTAGAATTATTGATCTACCTTTTAAAACAAAAACAATAACTCGAGGGCAAAGAACTTTTTGTTTTTCTCTCTCTTTTTGAATAGTATAATTACAAATTACCCCTGCATTTTTGTTTGTCTTGAACTGAAGTCCCACGGTGCTGTCATCATTATAAATTGGATTTTCTATAATTAACCATTAGAGTTTTGAGCATCTAGATCTTTTGAAATATATAAAATATATTACATAATAAAAAAAAAGGGTTACTGGTACAACAATGCACGTGCCAATAAAGCCGAGGAAATTAAGCTTTTTGGATGATGTTGGCGAGCTTTTTCAATTGTCAAATCCACTTTTTAAAGTTATTATCAACGGTTTGTTTTTGTATTTTATAAGTATTTAAAAAAAAATTAATTTTTTTATTTTTTATTAATTTTAAATTAATATATTTGTAGTGTTTTTAAATTATTTTGATGTGCTGATATCAAAAATAATTTTTAAAAAATAAAAAAAATTATCAATATGTATTTTAGCACGAAAAACTATTTGAAAAAGCAATTGTAACTATACTTCTAAACAAGCCCTATAAAAACAAAGAATAACTCTTTTCTCCCTTGTTTTCTCTTTTATTTTTTTTTAAAAAATAGATAAGTTTCGTTTCATTTATTTTTTAAAACAAATTGATCCTTAATGTTTTCATTTCATGTATATATTATCTTTTATGGGTTTTTTTCTTATCATTCATCATTTAATTTGATTTGATTTAATTTTAAATTTAATTTTTATTATTTTGATTATTATTTATTTTATTTTTAATTTTATCTCTCGATATTAAAAATAACATATTAATATAAACCTAATAAATATTATTCCGACTTGACTCGAATAGATAAGTGTTTTTTATGCTCACCTTATACGACGAGTAATTAATAGGGTATGAATATTATCAAAATATACTTGAAACTCGCTTGAACCTAAAAAATATATATATATTTACATTGTAAAAATATATCATTTGTAGAACATTTATTTTTCAAAAAAAAATATAATATGTATATATATTTTGATATTAACATCAAACACGTATATATGTGTAATATTTATAATTTTATAGTTTAATAATTTAACTTGTGTGTAAATAAAAGAAGCACACTTCAAATTCAGATATCAATAAATTTTGTATTTAATAATAAATAATAGTAAAATAATGGATATATATTGGAATAAACAATTTTATTTTTAATGTAAATGTTAAGTATGACAATTTAATATAAATTTAACGGATACTAACGCGAACCAGTGAATATTTTTTATGATTATTTTGCTTAATTGAATATTTTTTATGATTATTTTGCTTAATTAACAATGAATATGACATGAATGTTATCAAAACCAATTCCAAACTTACTTGAACTCAACATAAAATTTATATTTATATTATGTAAATATATTAGTCGAACATTTATAACATTGACATAAAAAACATATATTAACATACGTGTGTGTGAGTGTGTAATATTTATAATTTCACACATACACTTGATATATATATACATATATATATATATATATATCTTTTATTGAATAATAAATAATAGTTAAATGATTTAATAATCACATAAATACTAAAATCTAATTCACAATCTATAAATATTTAAATTTTTTAACAAGCAAGTAACAGGTAAGGTACGAGTATAAATCTAAATTGTGAGTATTTATTACCAGTCTTATTCAACATTTTATTTTGTTTTATTTTAGTGTTAAATTTTATACACTTTCTTTTGTTATTTTTTTGCAAATTTTAGGTACTTTCTTTTGTTATTTTTTTGCTCCTTTTTATTATCGTATTTGTTTTCAAATATTATCACTTAATATTTTGTGATTGAGATTTTTATTTTATTTTTTTGAGGTTTGTTTTTTATTAAATTACTACTAAGCTTACAACCAAACTAAATAACATATTTAAAATATTAATATATATCGATCCTTATTTTTATTTTTAGATTCTTCATTGCATCTTTTTTATTAAGCTGTTGCAGCTAACGTGTTTTAAATATTAACATGTATTGACCCTTATTTTTATTTTTATATTTTTTATTGTATTTGTTTTTGTTTTTTTAATTTTATTTTTTAATATTTAATTTATATTTAATTAATTTTTTTACAAGATTATCTCAATTTAATATTCAGGGTTTCATGGTTAATTAATCCATGTCAACCAGGATATTATTTATTTTTTAAAATTTAATTTGTTTTAATTTTGCTTATTGACAATAAATTTATTGATATTTAAGCTTTTAAATTATTTTATTATAGATTTTTTTTTAATTTTGATGAATTTAAATAATTTATTTATTTATTATTTTTTATATATACTATCAAAATCACATGAGTTTATTAAATCAGCTAAAATTAATTATCAATTTTTTTTAATAAAAAACGCTTGCATAATCTTAATTTTTTTTAAAAAATAAAAAACAAACCGGCCAACTACGATCAATCATGTAGGTTAGCCTAATCACCGTCGCTTGAAAAACAGCAATCAGGAAAACCAAGTACTATCGTCTCCCTCCACGAACATTTTATCATTCAATGTGTCTTTCCTTCAAGTCTAAGAATATGTTATTTTTTTCTATATCATTGAAAAGATTATAATTTTACCCTGGAGTTATAAATTACCTTTTCATACAATAAATTATATATATATATATATAGACACACACACATGGATATTGTATTAAAATAATAATTTGCCTGCACTTCATTTAGCCTGAATGAAATTATTAGTTTCTATTTAAAAAAGATAAGTTGAAGATTGAGATTTACAAAAGTACACGGTACAAATAATTTTTAACCTTACCTTATATATTTTTTTTAATAGCTTCATGTGTTTATTTTTATTATCCTTGATTAAATAAAAAAGTCTACAAAATAAAATTATAAAACATAATAAGATCTAAAATTAAATATCTTAATATATATTTATTTTTTAATTTTATTTTTAGTTATTGTTAATATTTTTTATAATTATTAATACATATAATTATTGATTTATTTAATTAAATATATATATCAGGTTTTTGATTTACTATTAGGATATTTTAGTATAAAAATATATTGAAAAAAATCTACATATTTATTTTTTATACTTAAAAAATATATATTTAATTCGTGACGAGCTAAGTTAAATGCTTATTTATAACTATATAAGGTTTTATTTTTATTTTTTTATTTTTATCACAAAAGGAATTCTATTAGAATTAAGATTTGTATATTTCTTTATCTTTAATCTTTAATGACTTGTCCCAACATGTTCTTTCTATTTCCTTGCTTGAAATATATTAAAAATATTTTATTTTGCTTGTTTTTATATTCTATATTTTAAATACTAAATAAGTTAAGTAAGTTATTATAAAACATAAAATATGGATAACAAATTAAGAATAAAATACTTAAAAATATCAATTGATATGAGTGTTATATTTGGAAAAGGCATTTACAAAATAAAAATATAAAGTCTAAATTTATGGGTTTTTCGTCAAAAAACACAAAATCAATATTAGTTAAACCCCACAAACGACGTCGTGCAGCGTAGCAGAAGACCAAACATATGCCAGACGGTCTCTTCATGTCTTTCTATTTTCTTTTTCTCTAGCACGCTCATGCAAAGACTGTTAGGCATCTATTTTGTTTTTTCAAGGCTGCTTCTTCACACTTCAATCAATCAGAAAGGTTCGTCTCCTTCTGGAACAATCTGTTTTCAAGAATCTATGCTCTCTCGCTTTCCCTTTTATGCTTACTATGCCTTCGATTTCGCCTTAAATTTACACCCACTTTTCAATTAAAACCCTAATGCTTTCCATTTCTGATTTCTCTATCAAATAATCTTTCCTAGGTTATCTAATCTGCGAGACTCAGGTACGTCGCGGGGTCTTACTCTACTGGTGCAATTCTTTATGGTTATTGAGAAAAATTGGAAACCGATTTTTTATTGTCTAGGTTTTTTTTTTTTTTTTTAAAACATGATTGTTTGATATGAGAAATTGTATTGCTTGTATTGTTAGGGTTGGATAGATTGATGTTGTTTGGGAGTCGAAGAAGCAAAGATTGACTGATACTTTACAATGGGATTTGATAATGAGTGCATACCTAACATTCAATCTCTTTCTGGAGAGTATTTCTGTCCCGTTTGTCGCCTTCTTGTGTACCCAAATGAAGCATTACAATCACAATGCACTCACTTGTACTGCAAACCCTGTTTGACATATGTCGTCAGCACTACCCGAGCCTGCCCCTATGACGGCTACCTTGTGACAGAAGCAGATTCCAAGGTTGTTCCTTGCCTGTCATGGTAGTGAATCTAGTTGCAGGGCCAGTGGTGTTATGTACATGCTGATGTATTTTTTTTTTTTTACATTGCTTACTGCAGCCTCTTATTGAATCGAACAAGGTACTTGCTGAAACCATTGGCAAGATAACTGTCCATTGTTTATATCATAGGAGTGGGTGCCCCTGGCAGGGTCCTCTGTGTGAGTGCACATCTCATTGCTCGGGATGTGCCTTTGGTAATTCTCCTGTAGTTTGCAACAGGTGTGGAATTCAAATTGTGCACAGTCAAGTGCAGGAACATGCTCAAAATTGTCCAGTGAGTGCAAGAAAATTTTTATTTAGGACTTAAGTGTGGAGTTGCTCTGTACTTTTGTTATATTGGTTTATATTCTTATTGTTCGATGACAGGGTGTGCAGCCTCAAGCGCAACCTGCTGAGGGTGCCCAAGATGCAACAAGCACAGGCGCACCAACTACTGGTGTTCAGGCTCAGGCTGCCATTCAAACAGGAACAACAACTCCCCAGGCTCAATCTTCTATGACCTCAACTCCTGGAAAAGATACCACCCAACAAATCAACGCAACTACCCAGGCCCAGACTGCAGTGCAGGCTGTGGCGCCCACTGCAGAACAGTGGTATCAACAGCAACAGCAATATCAGCAGTACTACCAGCAGTATCCTGGATATGACCCATATCAACAGCATTATCAGCAGTACTATCCATATCAACAGCAAGCAGTTTCACAATACCAGCAACCGCAGGTGAGCATGCATGCTCAAGTCCCCCAACCCCAGCTGCAGACCCAACCTCAACCTCAAGTACCCATTGCTGCTCAACCTCAGAACCAGGTACAAGTGAATCCACAGCAACAAACTCACCTTACAGTTCAGCAACAATCTCTGACCCAACTGCAGGCATATCCACCAGCCCATGGCTATCCACCTCCCCAGGCTCAATCCAATCCACAACCTCACCCTGTTCAGCCTCTTCCACAGCACGTGCCTCAATATCAGCATCCTCAATTGCAGGTGCAGCATCCACAGCCCCAAATTCAGGCACAGACTAATTCTCAGCTTCACCCTCAAAAGCATCCTGTTCCTCAACCTCATGTACAAGCTCAGCCACAAACACTCCAGCCCATTCCACAATCCCTGGCTTCTCAGCCCAGCCAGACTGTTAATCCTAATCTCCAGACCCAGCCTCAGCATTCTTCAATCAATGCAGTGACAGGCCATCATTCTTATCAACAGCCCCAGATTCACCAACAAATGCAGACAGGAGCCCTAAAACACTCTCAAGGGGGACCTCAACCTCCGTCACAACAGCCTGTTCAAATGCAGAGTCAGTTCCCTCAACAATCACCTTTATGGCCTCAGCCACAATACCATGCTGCAGCTCAAAACCTGCAGCAACCAGGTTTGCTACCTTCACAAGGTCAAGTCCCAAACATTCCTCCTGTACTACAACAGCCAATTCATTCTCATGCACATCAACCTGGACTTCCTGTTCAACAACGTCCTGGTATGCAGCCAACTCCGCAACCAACGCATCAGCAATATGCACAGCACCAGCAGCCTTTTTCTGGGCAACCATGGGGTGCAGTTCAGAATCAAGCACATCAGCAAGGTCCTTATGTGCAGCAGCAGCTGCATCCACAGACTCAACTACGCCCCCAAGGATTACCCCAGTCATTCCAGCAACCTTCTCATGCCTATCCACATCCCCAGCAAAATGTTCTATTACCGCATGGTGCACATCCCCATCAAGCTAAAAGTCTTGCAGTAGGGCCTGGATTACCTGCACAGTCATATCCACAATCTGCCTCTGGTATGCAGGTCAGGTCGATTCAGATTGGTGCAATCCAGCAATCTGGAAATATTCTGAAGACAAATAACCAAGTTGAATTATCTTCTGACCAACAATCAGGGGTTACTTCTAGACAAAAGCAAGGTGATATTGATAAAGGTGCAGAAGGTGAATTGTCTGCTAAAAAAACTATTAAAAAGGAATTAAATGATTTGGATGCTGGTCTTGCAGCTGATGGAAGTGAGATAAAAACCATAAAATCTGAAAGCGACTTGAAGCAAGTGGATGAAAAAAATAAACTCACAGGTGAAGCTAAGAATGTTCCAGAATCACTTGCAGCAGCAAATGGAGAGTCTTCAATTGAGCAGGTGAAAGAAGAGCATAGAGATGGTGCTGATGAGCAAAATGATGTTTCTAATGCTGGACACGAAAAGGTGGAGCTCTCTGTTTCAGAACACAAGGATGGTCCTCTGCTGGAAGCTGCCCCGTCTCACCTTGAAGAACAAATTATGACATTGCAGAAGGACAAAACTCCGACTTCTCAAAGTTTTGGAGGCTTTCCTCCAAATGGTCACGGGCAATCTCAATCAGTTTCAGCTGTTGACCAGGGAAAGCTAGAGCCTCTTCCAATTCATCACGGGCCCTCTGCTGCTCAACAAAGGCCTGTTGGACCTTCATTGGCGCAAGCATCTCCTCTTGGACCTCCACATCACATGCAATTGCCTGGGCATCCTCCAACTCAACATGGGCGTTTAGGTCCTGGACATGTACCAAGTCATTATGGTCCTCCTCAAGGGGCTTATCCTCATGCACCCGCACCCCCATCTCAAGGTGAGCGAACTCCTTCACATGTCCATGAAGCCACCATGTTTGCAAATCAGAGGCCTAAATATCCAGATGGTAGACAAGGCACGTACTCAAATGTGGTAGGAATAAATGGGGCCCAAGGCCCTAATTCAGATAGGTTCAGCTCTTTACCAGATGAGCATTTGAATCCATTTCCACGTGGCCCAGCACATCACAATGTTCAGCAAGGAGAGTTTGAAGAAGATCTGAAGCATTTCCCCAGGCCCTCTCATTTGGAAACCGAACCTGTTCCAAAATCTAGTAGTCACTTTGCCTCATCCAGACCTCTTGATAGGGGTCCTCGTGGTTTTGGTGTGGACGGAGCACCAAGACCTCTTGACAAGGGATCCCATGGTTTTAATTATGATTCAGGGTTGAACATGGAACCACTGGGTGGCTCTGCTCCTCCAAGATTCTTTCCTTCCTATCATCATGATAAAGCATTGCATCCCAGTGATGCGGAAGTATCATTAGGTTATCATGACAGTCTAGCAGGCCGATCTGACTTTGCTCGAACTCGTCCTGGTTTTCTTGGGCCCCCTATTCCTGGATATGATCACCGTCATATGGATAATTTGGCCCCAAGAAGTCCAGTTAGGGATTACCCTGGCATGCCTACACGGAGATTTGGTGCCCTTCCAGGCCTAGATGATATTGATGGCAGAGATCCACACCGATTTGGTGATACATTTTCTAGTTCTCTCCGTGATAGTAGGTTTCCAGTTTTTCCTAGCCATTTGCGCAGGGGCGAGCTTGAGGGTCCTGGTAATTTGCACATGGGTGAGCATTTGAGTGGTGATTTGATGGGACATGATGGTCGGCCTGCCCATTTGCGGAGGGGTGAACATTTGGGTCCTCGTAACCTGCCCAGTCATTTGTGGGTGGGAGAACCAGGTAACTTCGGTGCTTTCCCTGGTCATGCACGAATGGGAGAATTGGCTGGGCCAGGGAACTTCTATCATCATCAACTTGGTGAGCCTGGATTTAGAAGCAGCTTTGGTGGAAACTATGCAGTGAGTACTAGTTCTTTAATTTTATATTGTTAAAATATTATCTGGTTAATTTTTTTTTAAGAATTTCTTTGAAAACATCATTGCAACCTCTTGATATGGATAGGCAAGGTAAGAGCATGTGTATCCTAATTGAATTGGCTTCATAAAGTTCTGCATTTTACATTCATTATTTATATTTATGTGTTTTTTGTACTTTTGTATTCTTAGGGCGACTTGCAGTTTTTTGATAATTCTAGAAAGAGAAAACCAAGCATGGGATGGTGTCGTATATGTAAAGTTGACTGCGAAACAGTTGAAGCCCTGGACTTGCATTCACAAACAAGGGAGCACCAAAAGATGGCTCTAGATATGGTTGTAACCATCAAGCAGAATGCAAAGAAGCATAAATCGTAAGTTTGTTCCACCAATATATTCTCAAGTTTTATTTGCCAGAAACATCTGTTACTATTGTTTTTCTGCTTTATTTTGTAGAACTCCCAGTCATCATTCCTCACTTGAAGATAAAAGCAAGTCAAGGAATGCAAGTTTTGAGGGACGTGGGAATAAGCATTAACTCATGATGGTGCCTGGCAATTGAATCACATTGGACTTGTTGCAGTTGAATTTGTTCCTTTGGTAATTTGAACTTGGCAGCATTGGTGATTCAACCTTCCATTGCCCATTTCCTGCATTTCCCAATGGTTTATGCCAGTTTTGTCAATTCAGGTTGCTGCCTTGTTAAAAGGAGAGTTTTCGGACCTGAAGTTCAGTGGCAGTTAAGTTTGTTGGATTTTGATATTGAAATCTTCATTTTAGAACTGGGCTAGTTTTATGTTAACATTTGCTTTATCTAGTTTTTTTATAGTTAAAAGTCCGTTTGATCTTATTGGTTCATTGTGAATGTGTTGCTTCCTTTAGTTATTTGAAATGGCATTCTTTAGGATGTTTTGAATTGCACCTCTAATCTTTATAATCCCAGAATATTAAGTTAATTTTGGTGCTATTTGCTCACTTCATAACTCTACTCAACTAAGTCTAGAGCTCAACTAAATTGGTTCCTTAACTGTGGTTGTGGTACTGAAACCTGCAGTGTCTAACTTGTGCTTTGGGAATCAAATCTGCAATAGATTGCTTGTAGAACCCAACTTCTTTTGAGGAACAAAAGTGGCGCTGTTACCATCTCCTTGTTGGTTTCAGGTAGTTTTTGATGACGCATGCAATTGGATTGAACTCAAATCCTGTAGCCTCAACTCTTTTGATTGGGAATTGCCACTCTGCTAAACTTCTCATAAGATGACAGTAAAATTACAATAGGTTGTTTATTCAAACTTCTTTTGTTAATGGCACTAGCTAGACATGTGACATCCCTTATTTGGGTTAATAGAATCTCTTAGTATTGAAATTTTAAGACATAAGAAAGTGTTGATGCTTATATCTTATGAAATTTGGATCTAGCACTTAATAACTTCTTTAGGATTGCAATAGTTTCTTATCAAATTTTAAGATAATTCTGGATGGTTTTCGTCACTTAGATCAAATTTTTTCAGAGCAGCCGGCTCAAAGAGATGATCATTTTATAGTGTGACAATTGTAATTAATCAAATTCTAGCCTTTTCCTCATTATGTTAATTTATGTCATGTTATGTTCTAAAGACATCCCTACATGTCCACATTATGTTAATTTCTTGGCCAGCTGGCTCATTTAAACTTTTTCCTTTCATATATATTTTTTCTATCTTTAAATGTCTATATCAGTGAACTTGGAACTTCATTAGGTGCAGCAAAGGAGATTGTTTCTTATGTCATATCAAAATTGGAACTGCATAACAATACTCGACAATTTGATCGTGCCATTCAATTTCTGATTGATGTGGTTGATCAATCTTTATGGTGGCCATGCATGATTATATTTTACTTTGACTTTATGTTGGAATGTTGCGAATCTTTCCACTTGATTCTTAATGTTCAAAGAATAAAGCTTGGAAATTATACATTAAGAATAGTAATTCACTGCCAATTTTTGCTCTACCAATTGCAGCAAAATTTTATGAGATGAAAGTATCTTCTGCCTGAATAAAATTCTTAAAGTTTTGAGGGAATTGAGGTGGATTTGGAAATTCTTAGCAAATTTAGGAATTGAACTCAGTGTTATGAGGTTTGTAGGCAAGTCCAGAACCAAGTTTTGTTTCATAGTTTGTGTTATCTGAGAAGATTTGCACACTGTTCTCTTGGAAGCTGACTTATTGGAAGCATATATGAGGGGAGAGTATTTAATTAAGAAGAGCCTGGCTGATTTATGTGGTATACTGATAGTCATACATGAATTTGCTAATAAAGGAAGCTATAGCTGTGCTTTGTGGAGATAACTACATATTTTTGGTATTTGCTAATGAATTGTGTGATGGTTTCTTGGTTAGAAGATAGCGAGATTAAGATCCATTTTCTTAAGTGAAGACTGCCTGCTAAGTGCTGTTTTTCTCTCCCTTTCTTGGATGGTTTCAACTACATCTTGAATATCTGACTCTTAGCACCTTCATTAGGGATAATATATTCCATCGACCATGCTATTAGAGATTCCATTTCTTCTAACTGGTGACTCCAATACATTTCTTAACAGATTTTATGTTTTTATTGATTGAAAATGCTGCTTTCCAGTAGCTTTCTTCATTGCTGAAATTATAGTAGCTGATTATTTTGGTAGCATGAGGCACTGCATAATGCTGCCACAATTCATTGACTCTGATAGTGTTGATTTTTATTTTGTGGTGAATTTTTTTTATAATAGATATTTTCAATTCGGCCTGTCTTTTTGGGTGAAGCCTACAACAAAAAGACTGAAAGTTCAGCGGAAAGGTTTACCCAGTCGTCTTTTTTAGATGTGGTGAGGTTATGTTCATCCAACAGATGTAAGTTGTGAAATTTCGCTGGTTAGTATTGATGATTTGAATTTTCTTTATTACCGAAGTAGAATTTTTTTGTGTAGATTTTTCACCCTCTTAATGATCAAGCATTTGATTGCTGAAAATGACTAGGATAGGCATACTAATCTTAGGAAACTAGGAGGCTTGAAAATGACTAGGATCAAGTATAAATTGGCTAGCTGATATTAGAAAACTAAGAGGCTTCTTGAATAGCTTTCTTATCTTGGTCGGCTGATTTTTCTATTATCCTCTAAGTATCTTTGGCATTCCTTATATGTGGGGTGGGGTGTGGGGTGTGGGGTGATGAATCCTTTGTATAGTACCTCTCCATTTTTCTGTAGTTTTTAAAACATAATATGTTGGACGTGAGAACTTTGAATAATTTGCTGCACATATGAAGGTACTAGTTTAAAGGAAAATTTCATATGAGGGTGCTAGTTTAAAGGAAATCATGAAACATGATCGACACTCCTTGACATGGAACGAATTAATACAAAATATTGGGGGTTAGAAGAAAAATAAAAATGAATCTCCATTGTAAATGGATATTTCAAATAGGATTTGTGTCATATATGAAGTCAGGCTGCTACGGTTATAATGGCTTAAGCACTAGCTTAGTATATTTTAGGATAGAGAGGATGGGCATTATGCAACTAGCTTAGTATATTTTAGGATATAGAGGATGGGCATTATGCAACTCTTAAACAAAGCTTATAACGTTGACTGCATTGTACAAAAGAAGAGAAAAACAAAGGAATAAAAAGAAAAATATGTGGTTTGCCCGGGTTGGACATGATGAAATTATTGTCATCTGCTATCTGGGGAAGAGGGTTTACTACTACTCTAGCTTTGTGGTTTTTTGGTGAGACTGGCTGGACTATACTCTGTATTCTATAATATACATTTAGAGCAGAAGCTGCTATTTTCTGCACTTGCAGTGTGATGAGACATGCCATTTTAAGTAAAGTACGCTGGTTAATTATACTTTATAAAGCCTTTGTCAAGGATCATAAACCAAGTTTGAGTGTTCAAATGCACCTTGTAAAATACATGTTAGAAGTTGTAGGCTTAGAATATGTGCTCGGGAAAAAAAAAATCAACTGCTTCATAGTTTATTGGTACACCATCAGTGTTTAAATTGATGCCGTGGAACACACAAGCAAGGTTTTTCATTGGTATATAATTTCTGAAAAAAAGAAGCAAACAAGGAACTACACAAACCTCCCCCTCAAACTACTGCCTGGTCAAACTAATTAGGTTGAAATAAATTGTGGTTGTGCCCATCATAATCCGCCACAGCGTGGGTTGCTGCAAATTTAGACACCCATTAAAGGAACACACTCATAAATTGTGGTCTTAATTGCTAAAGAATGTGAGATACAGAAAATTTAAACCCAAATATTTTTATATCAACAAAATCATTGATGTTTGCTTCAGATTCGTCCTCTTGATTGACAATTAAGTGGTCATAACCTGGTCTCTTATTGTTAGCTACTAGTTGAAATGTTGCCAAAGTAATTGAGGAATGCTGATTTCATTTAAATCATCTAAACTTACTTAATATTCAAGATCACTGCATAGACGCAATTCAAAACCCTAAGTTATTGTGACTCATTCAGTTGATATTAATTTTGATTCATTTATGCAATTGTGATTCTTTTATGGACCTCTTATGCTTTATGAACTCCTATCATCTCTTATAACAAAAAAATGGTGCTTTACTCGAAGCAATGCCGCAGCCTTTTCACTAGGAGACATCCTCTGGACTTCAAACCTGCTTCTTCATCTGTTTCACCAGGTTTGTGGTTTTTATTCCTCTAGATTCTGAGAATTTTCCACTCAAATAATGAATCCTGTCTGGTCATTTTTCTTCATTTGTAACATCGGGGTTGTGGGGTTGTACTGGCAATCTTTCTACCTGGTGCTTAGGTATTGATCATCATGTGGACTTCTTTATTGGATAGAAAAGTGTTTTAATTCTTCAAACTAGGACACAAAGCTCACATCAATGGACGACATCATCTTGAATAGCTATGCTAGACAGATACTAGCTGCTGTCATCTAGGTCATTGTTGTCAAATTTTCGATTAACTAATTCCTTGAACATTGGTTTGGGTGTTATGTCATATTTTGCCTGCTAGATAAGGTTAAAAAATGAATAATACTAAAGAGTAAATTTTCAGGGGTAAATGTAATGGTGTTTTGGTTAAGTGCTTAGGGATGAACACGATTTGAATTTTGAGGGGCAACCCTGTATAATTGTAGGTCAATATCACACCCAGTTTTGGGGTGAAATGCATGCTCCCTTAACTTTTTTCCTCTCCCTCTTTTATACCATGTTGAACAAGCGTGAATGCTACTGGGACAATTCTCTACTCCCTTGTATACACAAACGTAGGTTGGAATCTTACCAATTGAATTAGAAAAGAAGGTTCAGAAGAAATGGTTGTCAATAAAGCAAAATTTCATGAAGGTAAAAGATATATGTTGTGTTGGTGACTTAGTGATGATTGATAAGTTAGTGTGCTCAGTACCATAACATAAACGTTGTCAGCAGTTGGTGTCAGACATGTGCTCTGAGATTAAGCATGCTTCAATGGAGAACAGAATCTATAACTAATGCACTTTATAGATGATGTTGGGGAAAATAATGCATTTGTGAAGATACAATGCTTGGTGTCCCAAAAAAGCAGGGTTGATGAATGGTTAAGAAGATACCTTTCATCATATCGAACCTGCTGGGCCTGAGAATACCAAAGTAGGAGCAACACAAGAAAAAGAAAGTGCTAGTAGCTGAAAATGCTATAGGAGATGTGAATCTTTACTTTTTACAGTTCAAATATAATCTCTTCCTCCCACTTAACAGTAACATTATGCAAAAAATAGACAATTGGTGGCCTTAACATGCCAGATTAATTGTAAGCTGTTCAAGCTATTTGATGCTAAGAACTTTACTTTATTGGCATATTAAATAAATTACTGTCGTTTGTTGCTGAAGGTACTACTCTTTCTTTCAAGAGTAATGTTCCATCAATTTTTTAATAGAAATTATCCACTAGTGTTATGCTGTATCCTTTAGCAAGTACCATGTTTTGATATATCTGTGCCACTCTTCTAATGGATATTAATTGGACCAATGCATCCATAAATAATTTATTTTATGTGGTTCTGTGATTTCTTGACACTTTCAGGATGAACGAAAAATCTAAAACTGGAAATTCATTTATTACAAGTCAACAGATTTGTCGTCAATATACAATTGAGTTGCATACCTTAGAAATTTAAATGGGATTTAAGATGATAATGATGATATTGGGCAATACCTTCTGTGTATGTCTGATGTACACTTCTGTTATGAACTCATCAAGCAACGATTCCAAAGTTTGCACTTTTTATACAGGGCTGTGATTCAATAATATGTTGAAAGCTGTTTCCTTTTTAGTCCACCTTGCCAGTTAACTTGTGGAGTCTATCTAGCATTTTCGTTTTGTTTCTTATTTGGTAGTGGATTGCACCTTATTTGTCAGTTAACTTGTGGAGGGTATCTAGCGTTTTCATTTCAATTATCTGTGATGTTTTAGGCTTTATTCATCAGTTAGTTGACATCAATGTGGTACACCATTACGTGATCTTGTGTTTGAAGGGGGGAGAAAAGTGAGAGTTAACAATAATACCTTTTGGTATTACCTCTTAAGAAGCTCCAGTCCAAACTTAGAATAATGGATCTACGTTCATTCTCTTTCTACAAAGCAAAATCAAAGTAATATTTTTATGATGTTTTGATGCAAAATTTATAATGGTCTCGATTCCCCTTCTCCACAACATGGCTTTGAAGTCCACTTGGGTGGAGAACAATGTTGTAAAATGTTGAGACAACTGCTATCAAATACAATTAAAATGGTTTCTTCCGGATTTAAGCTGTTACAATTTCTGCTTGGAGTAGGCTTGTGCATGAACAAATCGATCTCCTTTTACATTAGTGTGGGATTTATGGCGGGTTACTGGGAGAAAGTTGAATAATATGAGAGGATGCTTGTAGACTTCGGATAATTTTCAGGAAACGTTTCTTATGAAGTTACCGGGATAAGAAAAGAGTCTAATCACGATTCTCTGAACACTATATTTAACAGAAGATAGCATGTAGGCAGGCAGGCAGGCCCTCGTTACCTGAATTTAATGAGTGTTGTCTCGGTGGGTCTTGATAGCAGCCACCCCTGAGAAATAATTATTAGGCGATGGGATTTTTTTTTAAACTTCAAAATCACATTTCTTGCCGAAAATACATGGCCAAGGAATTGCATGCATCTTCGGATAGTGATCATAATGGCCTAACATCAAGTATCAACCCAGCGTCTGGATTGTAGTCTAAAGGTGCAGTACGGAAGAAGAAAAGAAACAGAGTGTACAAGGTGGTGCTAGGAATATGCGGCCCTTAAGTTGGGCTTTGGGTTATCACTTATTAATGCTTGCTGCCTTTTCCCTTTCTTTTCGGGTCTTTCTTCATAATGTCTCAATAATCTATTGTGGAACTTTGGTTCTAATCCATGGAGTTTGCTTGTCCATGGAGTATGAACTTTGGTTCATACCCTGCACCATCAAGTTTGCTTGTCTATGCAAGGAACAAGGGACGGCCTCTTCCGGGAAAAGAAGCTTTTTTCTAGTGGCGGATTACTTTCTCTGGGGTTTTCCTATACACCCACACCTTTCCATTAAAGCTTCAGTTGTTTTGCGTGGAATATAATCTTTATCTCACTTTTAAGCAGGCATATATACCAGGGAATTGTGGCTTAATTTTTAAACTTTGTATTGCTGAAAAATGTTAGCTTTGTAGTGATACTCTCGTGGGTTGAAATATGATAGGAATTGTACTATTTTGTTTTGGGGCTGTATGGAAATGTGATTGTTTTGGGGTTGTTTGGAAATACGATTGTGTTGATTTTTAAATAGTTTGTCGTATTAAAATGTATGTCAATGATGTTTTTTTTTTTTTTTTTAAAAGTTATTTTTGATATCAATAAGTTAAAATGATTTGAAAATACTAAAAACATATTGATTTGAAGTTAATAAAAAAATAAAAAAATTTTAAATTTTGAAAACGTAAAAATAAAAAGGACCGAATCTAATTGAAGAACCTAATTGAAGATTCTGTTCATTCTTATTATAAAAAGAAAATGGAAGATTCTGTTTAACTATCAAATTTAGTGTTAATTCTAACTTAGTCCTTGTAGCTTAAAACAATTAACTAGTTAATCCCTACACTTTTAATAAATTGATTTTCAGTCCTTATGTTTTTCAGTTTTGTTTATATTTTATTGCTTGATCTTTCTATAGATTTCAATGTTCTTTTCCATAGATGAAATGATTAGGAGGAAGGAAGGTGTTTTTGGATAGAAAAGTAAAAAAAAATCCACAAAATTGAGGATAGTCATTGGTGCAAGTGATTATTTAATTATCTTTTATACTACAAGGACCACTTAATTAGTTTTTTTAAACTACAAGGATCAAAATTATAATCAATTCGTAAACCATAAATGGCATGGAAGGTACGCAATCAGTTGAGCGGCTCTGCTGTTTATCTACGGACAGCTGTAACCCACCAATTTGAAAATTTGAATTTCAAAAACCCTCTACAAGTTTTAACCCTTGGATTCCTATCGTTAGAAATAGCAGGCAGCCCAACTTACCGTTTCTAAATAAAATATTCGCTTTCCCCTTTCCCTTTCCTCTATAAAATCTTCCATTTGCCCGATTCGCTCTCTCCGAGCTCAAAATCCTCTCTTCTTCTATTCATTGTCTCACAAAACCAAAAGCAAAAATGCGTGAGATCCTTCACATTCAAGGCGGGCAATGCGGCAACCAGATAGGAGCCAAGTTCTGGGAAGTCGTCTGTGCAGAACACGGCATAGACTCCACCGGCCGTTACCAAGGCGACTCCCCTCTCCAGCTTGAAAGAATCAATGTCTATTACAATGAAGCTAGTTGCGGTCGGTTTGTTCCTCGTTCTGTCCTCATGGATTTGGAGCCTGGAACCATGGACAGCGTCAGATCTGGTCCCTATGGTCAGATCTTCAGACCTGACAACTTCGTTTTCGGCCAATCTGGTGCTGGAAACAACTGGGCTAAAGGTCATTACACTGAAGGCGCTGAACTCATCGATTCTGTCCTCGATGTTGTTCGAAAAGAAGCCGAGAATTGTGACTGCTTGCAAGGTTACTACTAGAATAATCTAGTGTACTTAACTAATTAAGATTATTTTGCTCATGGGGTTTTAACTGGGTTTATTTACTTGATTTGATATGTATGTAGGGTTTCAAGTGTGTCATTCACTTGGAGGTGGAACCGGGTCTGGAATGGGAACCCTATTGATATCGAAGATTAGAGAAGAATACCCAGATAGAATGATGTTGACATTCTCTGTGTTTCCTTCTCCAAAGGTGTCTGATACAGTTGTTGAGCCTTACAATGCTACTTTGTCTGTTCATCAACTTGTCGAGAATGCTGACGAGTGTATGGTTCTCGATAACGAGGCCTTGTATGATATCTGTTTCAGGACTCTGAAACTCACCACTCCTAGCTGTAAGTTCTTTGTTAACTACATTATCCATCTACTTTTTGTTCTGTTAATTGAATGAATATGATTGCTTTATGTTGTGTATATAAATAAATAATTTTAAGCATTATATAGTTAAGAGCAACACAAATTAAATATAACAAATTGTGTTTTTCCTTGTATTTGAGACCAGTTGGTGACTTGAATCATCTGATATCTGCAACAATGTCTGGGGTTACATGCTGCTTGAGGTTCCCTGGTCAGCTGAACTCTGACCTGAGAAAACTTGCAGTGAACTTGATACCGTTCCCTCGTCTTCACTTTTTCATGGTGGGTTTTGCGCCACTCACATCCCGTGGCTCGCAGCAGTACAGAGCTTTGACAGTTCCGGAACTCACTCAACAAATGTGGGATTCGAAGAACATGATGTGTGCGGCTGATCCGCGACATGGACGCTATCTAACAGCATCAGCCATGTTCCGTGGCAAGATGAGTACAAAAGAAGTAGATGAGCAGATGCTGAACGTGCAGAACAAGAACTCTTCTTACTTTGTTGAGTGGATTCCAAACAATGTAAAGTCAACTGTGTGTGATATCCCGCCTACTGGTCTTCAGATGGCATCCACATTTATTGGCAATTCAACATCTATACAGGAGATGTTTAGGAGGGTTAGTGAGCAATTTACTGCCATGTTTAGGAGGAAGGCTTTCTTGCATTGGTATACTGGGGAAGGAATGGATGAGATGGAGTTCACTGAGGCGGAGAGTAACATGAATGATCTGGTTTCTGAGTATCAGCAATACCAAGATGCAACAGCGGATGAGGAAGGAGAATACGAGGAGGAGGAGGAAGGAGATGAATATCAGCAAGACTATCAGTAGATTTTCTTTCTTTTGTACCTTTCTTTTGTACCTCAACTTCCAGTTGCTGGTTTCTATTCGTCTTTAGTATGTAGGGTTTTAAAATGAATCTGCAGCTAGTACTTCAAATTTGTTGTGGAATTGGGTACTGAATATTATTAATCCTATCCTTCCTCCTTCAAATCATGAACAGCATCGCAGATGATGCTTCCTTTCTGGTTCAAATGCTTTGACTTGCAATTCATTAATTGTCCTTTTCAAATCAGGAACAGGCAGATGATGCCCCGTTTTCGGTTCAAATGCTCTGACTTGCAATTCATCAATTGTCATTTTCAATTAACACTGGCAAGATGTCTTGTCCTTTTTAAATCATCAACAGGCAGATGATGCCCCGTTTTCGGTTCAAATGCTCTGACTTGCAATTCATCAATTGTCATTCTCAATTAACACTGGCAACTCTATATTGTTTAAACAGAGCTTCCCTTTGGCATTTGAAGTTGAACATGACTTCAATTTTCCAACCCCCTATTACTTAAGAGGTGTTCTTGTATTTTCAAAGGAAATTTTACCTCGTTTTTTCTCTCAAAATAAAGATTCACATGGCAAAGTCTAAGCAAATGATAACGAAGGAGGTGCAAGGAATTTTGTAAAGGCAAATGACAGTCACAAGTGCATGACCATCTAGTAGTAAGACAGAACGGGTTTTTCACACACAAGTGAAACAACGATACAACTCTTTTTTACAAGTGGCTGCTGCTAGAGTAAACTTCATGAAATAAGGATTTCAGCTCTATTCTCTAATGTTGACACAAACAGCAACTCATTCCAAGAATTTATTATGAATTAGCAACAATCAAGTTTGTTTTTATCCACTTGAATATCATAAAATTGAACAACAGAGAAATTAAAGAGAGAAATGTTTTCACCAAGTCAATTTTCTTATACAAGTTCATCCGTGTTGCGTAATTGATTTTTAGCTCAGTTTATGAGATCTTTGATTATGTTAAGTTTTCAGGACAAGAGTCAATTTTTATTGTCATACTTCTGTTCTAACATCTAACATTGACCCATTGGTACTCTGTTCTAACATCTAACAACAGAACACAACGAGTTTTTTACACACAAGTGAAACAACGGTACAGATCTTCTTTACAAGTGGCTGCTGCCAGAGTAAACTTCATGAAATAGGGATTTCAACTCTATTCTCTAATGTTGACACAAACATAAATTCAGTCCAAGAATTTATTGTGAATTAGCAACAACCAAGTTTGTTTTTATCCACTTGAATATCAAAAAGTTGAACAGCAGAGAAATTGAGGAGAGAAATGTTTTAACCAAGTCAATATTTCTTATACAAGTTCATTCATATTGCGGAATTGATTTTTAGCCTAGTCTATGAGATCTTTAATCATGTTAAGTTTTCAGGACAAGATTCAAGCAAGTGCTTCAATTTTATTGTCATACTTCACAACTTTTCATTACACATAAAATCAACAAATCTATTTTGAAGAGAGAGAGGAGATGAAAAAAGAAAAAAAGATGATTGTTGTTGTTGTGAAAGAGACGGGGAGAGAAGGGAAAGAAAAGGAGAGAATAAAAAGTTGGCTGACTTTTTATCTAATTTTGAATTTGAATATGGAAATGAAGAGGGAAGATATGAACCAAAATTGAGGATACTTTGATCCTAAATTTTTTATATTATTTGGTGACTATTATTTTGGGGATTTGAGTTTTGATAGTAATTTTTTTTATATATATATTTCAGTTTATGAATGATAAGTGAGATAAAAAAAATTGTATTTTTTTTAAATAGTTGGATAACTATATTCCAATCATAAAAAATATTAATATTTATGTTAATGATTCCATCTTTTATATTTATAGAGGAGTTAAACAAAAAATTGGTGTTTTTATAAAAATAAGTAGCGAATACCAGCTAGTAGTAAGTTAACCTTTTGCATTCATTTGATTTCATTTATTGGAGTGATTTTAAGTCTTATAATTAGTTATTGTTTTGGTGATTTTGAGATATTTTTGAGTAAAATAATTGAAAATTAGGTTTTTAAGTTCTAAAAACTTGAATTCTAATTTTAAATGCTAATATAATTTTAAAATTGATCAACAAGTGACACGTACATGACTATCTATATACATGTATATAAAATTTTAAGGTAAATCTAAAAAAATAAAAAAAAATATAAAGTGACCTAGCTTTTTTACTAGAGATCGGTAGGACTAGCATGTTGATCTATTAGTGTTTATTTTTTTTTAATTTTTATTTAAATATTAATTAATATCCTCTTTTTTTATTTTTAAATCTTTGAGTGCAGCTTTGTTTTTCTATTGTGATTGATTTATTTATATTTTTATAGTTTCTAACTACTTCAAAGAAATTAATTTAATTTATTTGTAATTTCTTTTCTTTTATATTTTATATAAATTATATAATTTTTTTATAAAAAATAGTT